CATTTTTCTTCACATCCTCACAAGCATTTGTTATTTTTTTTTGGCTTTTGATAATAGCCAAGGGATGAGATGATACCTCATTGTGATTTTGATTTGCATATACCTGATGATTAGTGATGTTGAACATTACAAAATATATTTTTGACCATTTGTTTGCCTTCTTTTGAAAAATGTCTGTTCAGATCATTGGCCCATTTTAAAATTAGATTGTTTTTCTTTAGTTGAGGTGATTCAGTTTCTTGTATATTCTGGACAGTAACCCCATGTTGGTTGGATAGTTTGCAAATATTTTGTCCCATTCGGTAGGTTATCTTTTCACTCTGTTGATTGTTTCTTTCTTTTATTTTTTTGAGACAGAGTCTCACTCTGCTTTTCAGGCTGGAGTGTGGTGGCATGATCACAGATCACTGCAGCCTCTACTTCCCCAGACTCAGGTGATCCTCCCACCTCAGCCTCCTGAGTAGCTGGGACTACAGTCATATACCACCATGCCTGGCTAATTTTTGTATTTTGTGTAGAGATGGGGTTTCACCATGTTTCCCAGACTGGTCTCAAACTCCTGGGCTCAAGTGATCCTCCTCACTTAGTCTCTCAAAATTCTGGGATTACAGATGTGAAGCATTGGGCCTGGCCTTGCTGATTGTTTCCTTTGCTGTGCAGAAGATTTTTAATTTGATAAAATCTATTTTAGTTTTGCTATTATTGTCTGTGCTTTAAAAATCTTATTCATGAAATATTTCCCCAGACTCATGTCCTCAGTTTTCTTCTTTTAGTTTTACCATTTTTGGTCTTACCTTTAGATCTTTGATCCATTTAGAGTTGATTTTTATATGAGGTGAGAGGCAGTGGTCTAGTTTCATCCTTCTCCCTAAAGATAGCCAGTTTTCCCAGCACGATTTGTTGAAGAGACCTTCTTTTCCCCAATTGGTGTTCTTGGGATCTTTGTCAAAAATCAGTTGGCAGTATACATGTGGATTAATTTCTGGATTCTCAATACTATTTCATTGGTCTGTGTATCTAATTTTATGCCAGTACCATGTTGTTTTGGTTACTACAACTTTGTAATATATTTTGAGGTCTGGTAGTGATACCTCCAGTATTGCTGTTTTTGCTCATGATTACTTTGGTTATTTGGGGTCTTCTGTGGTTCCATACAAATTTTGGGATTTTTTTTTCTATTTCTGTGAGAAATGTCATTGGTATTTTGATAGAGATTACAGTCTTATTTTAACAATATTAATTCTTACAATCCATCAGCATGGCTGTCTTTCCAATTGTTTTCATCCTCTTCAATTTCTTTCATCAGTGTTTTGTAGTTTTCCTTGTAGCGATCGTTCACCTCTTTGGTTAAATTTATTCCTACGTATTTTAATATTTTTGTAGTTATTGTGAGATTTCCTTCTTAATTTCTTTTTCAGCTAGTTTATTGTTCATGTATAGAAATGCCACTGGTTTTTGTATATTAATTTTGTATCCTTCAACTTCACTGAATTCATTTATTAGTTCTAAGAGTTGTTTTACTACAGTCTTTAGGTTTTTCTAGATAAAAGAACATGTCATCTGCAAATGGGGACAGTTTGACTTCCCCCATTCCAATTTGAATGTCTTTTATTCTTCTCTCTTGTCTAATTGCCCTGGATAGGATTTCCAGGGATATGTTCAATAAGAGTGGAGACAGTTGGGAATCCTTGTGCTGGTCCATTTCTTAGAGGAAAAGCTTTCAGCATTTCCTCATTTGTAAGATCTTCACTGTGTGTTTGTCATACGTGCCCTTTATTATGATGAGGTGCTTTCCTTCTATACCTAATTTGTTGAGAATTTTTTTTTATTATGAAGGGATGTTGAATTTTATCAAAAGCTTTTTCTGCATATATTGAGATGATCATGTAATTTTTGCCCTTCATTCTATTGATGAGATGTATGATGTTTATTGATTTGCATATTTTGAACCAACTTTGCATTCCTGGGATAAATCCCACTTGATCATGGTATATTATCTTTTTGATGTGTTTTTCTCACCTTTTATTTTTTTCTCTGGAATGTTCATAATATGAATATTTATTTGCTTAATGGTATCCTATAAATCTTGTAGGCTTTCTTCATTCGTTTTAAGTTCTTTTTTGTCTTCCTGTGTTATTTCAGAAGACCTGTCTTTGAGCTAAGAAATTATTTGTTTTGCTTGGTCTAGTATGTGTTGAAACTTTAATTGTACCTTTTATTTCATTCATTGAATTCGTTAGTTGCAGGATTTCTGTTTGGTTATTTTTTGTGGTGTCTATCTCTTTGTTGAATTTCTCATTTTAGATCATGAATGTTTTCTTGGCTTTATTGAATTATCTATTTGAATTCTCTTGTATTTCACTGAGTTTTTTTTTTAAGATTTCTATTTTGAATTCTTTTTATGCCATTTCACTTATTTCCTTATGATTGGGAAATATTACTGGAAAGTCATTGTTTTCCTCTGGAGGTGACATGTTTCCTTGCTTTTTTATGGCTGATGTATCCCTATGTTGATATCTATGCATCTAGTGGAAAAGGGACTGCTTCCAATTTTATGAAGTAGGTTTTGTAGGGAAAGACTTATTCATATGGAGTGTGTATTAATCTGTTTTTGCATTGCTATAAATAAATACCCGAGACTGGGTAATTTATAAAGAAAAGAGGTTTAGTTGGATCACGCTTCTGTAGGCTGTGCAGGAAGCGTAGTGGCTTCTGCTTCTGGGGAGGCCTCTGGTGCTCTCTATCATGGTGGAAGGGAAAGCGGGAGCAGGCACACCTCACATGTTGGGAACAGGAGTGAGAGAGAAAGAGAGAGTGGGGCAAGGGGCCACACAGTTTTAGACAACCAGATCTCATGAGAACTCACTATGCAGTACCAAGGGGGAATGGTGTAAAACAATTCATGAGAGCTACATCCCCATGATCCAGTCACCTCTGTATTAGTCCACTTTCATGCTGCTGATAAAGATATGAAGACTGGGCAATTTACAAAAAAAAGAGGTTTAATGACTTACAGTTCCACATTGCTGAGGAGGCCTCACAATAACGGCAGAAGGCAAGGAGGAGCAAGTCACATCCTATCTGGATGGCGGCAGGCAAAGAGAGATTGGGCAGGGAAACTTTTTCTTGTGATACCATTATATCTCTTGAGTCTTATTCGATATCATGAGAGCAGCATGGGAAGGACCTGCCTGCATGATTCAGTTACCTCCCACTGGGTCCCTCCCACAACACATGGGTATTCAAAAAGCTCAAGGCCCTCTCCAAACTGGACTCAGGGTGTGCAAGAACCATGAGATTCTCCTTTCGTAAGGACTGGGATTTGGGTGGGGACACAGCCAAACCATATCAACTTTCCACTAGGACTCATCTCCAACACTGGGGATTACAGTTTGACATAAGATTTGGGTGGGGACACAGATTCAAATCATATCAAGGTGTCAGTTTGGTGTGGTACACTGGCCTTGGTATGCAGTACATGGCTGCTTGGCCAACTTGAAGGGCTGTCTCTGAGGTCCTTATTGGAGGTGCAGGGCCACTGAGCAAGCCAAGGGTTTGTTGTGTCTTCAGGGAATAGGGTGCTGCGGGCCTGTTTCTCAGGTCCTGAATGTGGGCGCATAGCCACTTTGCTAGCCTGGGGGCATATCAAATACTGAAAGGCTCAGTGCCCTCTCCTGCTTGGGGGAGGGTACACAGTGAATTGGCTGACTCAAGGGTGGGTTCATCCTAGGCAGCAGTGGCAGACTGTTCCTCCAGCTAGAAGTGCAGTAGTGAGGGTGGTTTTTCATGCTGTGCAGGACCAGTGTCACAGCTTACCTTCGGACCAGGCTCCTGGGATTATGGCATTCAGCCACCTGGGTGGGCTTGGTTGAATGAAGAAGGAGCTCCAGTGCTGAAGAGATATAGTGATTCCTGGCTCCAGAGGAGGATGCACTCCAGAGGTGGCTCTGGTCTCAAGATGATGCTCTGCAACAGATTGGCTCAGAGGGGCTGGGTGGGGGTGGGGAGTGCATACCTTATGGTTCTAATCTGGAGCAATGCTGCTGTGCAGATTCCTGGCAGCTCTGCAAACTGGATGCAGGGCTTGCGAGAACTGTGAGATTCTCCTTTTGTAAGGACTGTAGGTGTTTGCTGTGTCAGTAGAGGTGGATGAGGTCCTTCTGTTTATCTTTTCCATGCAATGAGATGTCCCTCCTGACTCCTGGCAGATTTAATCTGAGCAGGGGATACAGGGCTGCAGCGGCTGAGTGCCTGCATGCTGCCTTTCTGGACTGCCAGTCCCCACGGATGCATCTTCACTCCCCCACTGTACTTCAGCACCCTCCTTCAACACTCCAGTCAGCTCTTGGCTGTTGATTCATTGCCTTGGTCGTTTTGGTGGGTCGGGGGGCAGGCAGAATGCCAGTCCTCTCTAGTCAACCATTTTGCTGACATCACTCTTCCAAATGATCTGGAGTTTATTTTCATTTTTTTCATCCAAAAATATAAGGATTCTATATTTACACTGTGCTAGGAGACTAAAGGTCATTAAAATATAATAGAGCCCCTACTTTACAACAGAAGTAGATATATGGTTCTTTATAGCATGGTAGAATTTGAACGTCACTTTTATGGCTTTGTAACTGTGACTGGCTCTATCTGGATGTGCAATTTCTGAGGAAATGTTGAAATCAAAACTTAGACACTGAGTTTTTAGAAAGCTAATTATATAGAGCTCACCAAAATTATAGTTTTTTCCCCAAAATTCTCACTGTGCTTTAAAAATAATTTGTATTAACTATCCCTCTGTATGAGGATCATAGTTGTGACCATCATATCATTATGTCAACAGTGACCTTTGAGAGTTAGAAGAGTAAAAGATGGGAGAGCCATCTTGTTCGCGCAGAGGAGATTCTTAGAAGTACCAACTTAGAGATGAAATTGCTGGCCTAGAAACTAGTAACCTTCTCACTGGGTTTCATGGTTCTTTTTTCCTTTCTTTCATCATTTTGGGTTTCCAGCTGAGATGTTAAAACAAAGATTAGAAGACCTGGAACAAGAGACAATCAGCCTGCACTTTCAGCTTCCTTCAAGGCAGCCAGCTCTAAGCAGCTTCCTGGGTCACCTGGCAGCACAAGTCCAGGCTGCCTTGCGCCATGGGGCCACTGAGCAGTGAGTACTTGTCATTGTCGCCATTTCCTCCTCATGTTTCTTCCTACCTTTCAGCTCCCACATAGTAAAGAGCTGGGAGGAGCTTAGCTGTAGGAACCCTCGGCTGCTTTCCTGGGAAGGGCCCTTTGTTGGTTGGGAAGGTGAGGGTCCTTCCAGAGTGAGGGAATGACTCACGTGGGTCATGCTTCTCTAGACAAGACTTTTCTGCTACTTGGCAGAGAGAGATCCTCCACAAGTGCAGCTGCATCCCAGGTCTGAATCATTCCTTCTAAGAAGGTGTGGTCATTTCCTCTTGTTGAGGCAGCTTGGTGTCCTGTGATCCTATTAAGCCTGTAAGATCCATATATGGTCCCCTCTGACCGAGCAATGAAAACCCTTCTTCCTCCTAACTCTACTTCCAGCTCCCGAGCAACATTCACCCAAGGCTCTTCTGGGATCAGTAATATATAGAGAGCAATTGCTGCTTCTAATCTAGTGGCTTGTGGTCCTGGCTGCATGTTTGAATAACTTAGAGAGATTTAAAACCTACCAATGTCCACCCCCACCTCAGGCAAGCTGAGTCGGAATGTCTCGAGGTGGTAGGCAAGGGTGGCTCCCAGATGTTGGCATGCTTGAAAAGGCTGAGAACCATTGCTCCATCTACCTGCCTGTTCCCTCTCTCTCCAGGTAAAGGTCTGAGAGGGAACAAGTGTTTTATGACTGCTGTGAGCCTCATCACAATTCAGGTCTGTTTCTAGGTGTCAACATGACCACAACAATTCCACTTTATTTCTCACTTCCAATTGGCCCTGACAATCGCAAGACTGTCTGGCCCCTTCCTATTAAGTGTACATGGCATTATACATTTAGTTTATCTTGGTCCCTCCCTAAAGCCCTTCTGGACTGTGAGGCCAGTTATTTTCTCAGTTTTGTCAGTAGCATATAGCAGAGTGAATAGCACCTGGTAGGTGCCTTTTTATAACTGTTTGCTCAGGGAACTTTTTCATGGTTCTCTTAAACAGGGAGTAAATTTTGCCTTGCCATTTCCATGCCTTTCTCATCTGACATTGAGACGTCATTACAACATTGCCTGTTCCTCTTTCTTTCAAGCATGAGGCCCCTCCCAAATTGACTTTCTGTGTAATTCTCTCATTCTTTCATCTTTGGGATTATTTCTTGTCCTCTACTTTAGTCTTGGGAGATCTTTAGCAAGCATATAGAAATGGGGCAAAAAAATTGAGGCACAATAAATTTAGCTAATTTATTATGTTTCTATTTATTGAACAAACACATAACAGTTACTAAGTGCTTTAGAAGTTACTCATTTAATTTATTTCCATTTTTTAAAAATTGTGGTAAAATACACGTAACATAAAATTCACCATCTTAGCCATTGTTAAGTATACAGTTCAGTGGTACTAAATACATTATAATGCTGTACAACCCTCACCACCATTCATCTCCAGAACTTTTTCCTCTTCCCCAACTAACACTCTCTGCCATTAAGCAATAAATCCCCATCCCTTCTCCTCTTCTGGCCCCTGACAAACACATTCTAATTTCCATTTCTCTGAATTTGACTACTCTGCGTACCTCATATAAGTGGAACCATACAATATTTGTTCTTTTGTGACTGACCTTTCTCATAGCATAGTGTCTTCCAGGTTCATTCATCTGATAGCTCGTGTCAGAATTTCCTTCATTTCAAGGCTGTATAATACTCCATTGTCTGGATAGACTACAGTTTGCTTATTCATTCATTTAAATAACTCGTTTAATCTTCATGACAATTCTAGGGGGTAGTATTATTTTATATATTGATATCTATGTGTATAGAGATCTGTATCTACATCAATACCTGAATTTTAAGATGAGGAAACCAGGCCCAGTAGAAGCTAAGAAACTCAGGCAGACCAACCAGCATGTTGAGTACTGAGGGAGGCACAAACCCAGCTGTCTGGCTTGCATCCTGTCTGCGAACCAGTGCACTATGCTGCCTCTCTAAGTATGGGCTGGCAAAGGCTGATAAATTACTATCTCTTTAGCCCTACATGCAAGTTGGATGGAGAGCGTATTAGTCCATTTTCACATTGTTATAAACAATTAGCTGAGACTGAGTAATTTATAAATGAAAAAGGATTAATTAGCTCATGATTCTTCAGGCTGTACAGGGAGCATGAGGCTAGCATCTGCTCAGCTCCTGGGGAGGCCTCAGGAAACTCATAATCATGGCGTAAGGTGAAAGGAGAGCACACACATTGAATGGCCAGAGTAGGAGCAAGAGAGAAAAGAGGGAGGTGCCACATACTTTTAAACAACCAGATCTCATGTGAACTGTATCATAAGAACAGCGCCAAGAGGATGGTGCTAAACCGTTCATGAAATATCCACCTTCATGGTACAATCGTTTCCCACCAGACCCTGCCTCCAACACTGGGGATTACATGACATGAGATTTGGGTGGGGACACAGATCCAAGCCATATCATTCCACCCATGGTCTCCGCAAATCTCATGTCTTTCTCACATTGCAAAATATAAGCATCCCTTCCCAATAGTCCCCCAAAGTCTTAGCTCATTTCCGGCATTAATTCAGAAGTTCAAAGTCCAAAGTCTCATCTGAGACAAGGCTAGTCCCTTCTGCCTGTGAGCATGTAAAATAAAAAACCATTTAGTTACTTCCGAGGTATAGGCATTGGGTTAATGCTCCTGTTCCAAAAGAGAGAAATTGTCTGAAAGAAAGGGGCTACAGGCCCCATGCAATTTGAAACCCAGTGGGGCAGTCATTAAATCTTAAAGCTCCAAAATAATCTCCTTTTCACTCCATGTCTCACATCCAGAGCACACTGGTGCAAGGAGTGGGCTCCCATGAACTTGGGCAGCCCTGCCTCTGTGGCTTTGCAGGGTTCAGCCCCTGCAGCTGCTCTCATAGGCTGGCATTGAGTGCCTACAGCTTTTCCATGCTGAGGGTGCAAGCTGCCAGTGGATCTATCATTCTAGGGTCTGCAAGATAGTGGACCCCTTCTCACAGCTCCACTAGGCAGTGCCCCCATGGGGACTTGGTGTTGGGGCTCCAACCCCATATTTCCCCTCCCTACTACCCTAGTAGTGGTTCCCCAAGAGGGCTCCTCCCCTGCAGCAGTCTTCTACCTAGGCAACAAGCTCATGCATCCTCTGAAATCTAGGCAGATGCTCCCAAGCCTCAACTCTTGTATTCTGTGGACCCTCAGTCTTATCACCATGTGGAATTTGCCAGGGCTTATGGCTTGTACCCTCAGAAGCAGTGGCCCAAGCTATATCTGGACCCCTTTGAGACAAGGCTGGAGTTGGAAAAACAGAGCAGTGTGGAGAGCAGTGTTCTGAGACTGTGCAAAGCAGTAGGGCCCTGGCCTGGCCCATGAAACCGTTCTGTCCTCATAGGCCTCCAAGCCTGTGATGGGAGGGGTTGCCATGAAGGTCTCTAAAATGCCTCTGAGGCCTTTTCCCCATTGTCTTAGCTATTAGCACACAGCTTCTTTTTACTTATGCAAATTTTTGCAGCCTGCTTGAATTCCTCCCCTGAAAATTGGCCTTTTTTTTTCTACCACATGGCCAAGCTGCAAATTTTCCAAACTTTTATAACTTGCTTCCCCTTTATATATAAGTTCCAACTTTAGCTCATGCATATAAGCACAGGTTGTTAGAAGCAGCCAGGCCACATCTTGAATGCTTTGCTGCCTAGAAATTTCTACCACCAGATACCTTAAATCATTACTCTCAAGTTCAAAGTTCCACAAACAACCTAGGGCAGGGGGACAATGCAGCTAAGTTCTTTGCTAAGGCGTAACAAAAGTGAGCTTTACTTCAGTTCCCAATAAGTTCCTCATGTCAATCTGAGACTTCAGCAGCCTGGCTTTCACTGTTCATATAACTTCCAGCATTTTGGTCATAACCATTTAATCAGTTTCAAGGAATTTCCAAACTTTTCCTCACCTTCCTGTCTTCTTCTGAGCCATGCACACTCTTTCAACCTCTGCCTACTACCCAATTTCAAAGCAACTTCCACATTTTCAGGTATCTTTATAGCAATGCCCTGCGTCTTTGTACCAATTTTCTGTATTAGTCTGTCTTCACATTATTATAAAAAAATACCCAAGACTGGGTAATTTATAAAGAAAAGAGGCTTAATAGGCTTACAGTTCTGCAGGATGTACAGGAAGCATGATCTGGCATCTGCTTGGCTTCTGGGGAGTCCTTGGGTAACTTACAATCATGGCAGACGGTGAAAGGGGAGCAGACATATCACATGGCTGGAGCAGCAAGAGAGGGAAAAATGGGAGATGTTATTCACTTTTAAACAACCAGATGTTTTGGGAACTCTATCATGAGAACATGAGGGGATGGTGCTAAACATTCATATAAAATCCATTCTTATGATACAATCACCTCCCCCCACCAGGCCCCAACTCCCACATCAGGGACTACAATTCAACAAGAGATTTGGGTGGGGACACAAATCCAAATCATAGCAGAGAGTGATGATTTTATCATGGTCTTGCCAGTTTATAATAGAATATGATTAACTAAAAGCCAGTGTCATGCATTCTTAATTATATTAGGTTACACCATAAGGGCATCTCTTATATTTGACTGTTTCAAACCTGTCAAACTTTTTATGGGGTTCAAAATAATAAGGCCCCCAGAAAAGTATGGGACTTTATTACACGTTTATCAAGATAATATTAGCTGTTGGCTTACTTCATGAGCTACCACCCTCTTTTCTTGTCCTCACAGGAGTTGTCTGTATACTGTGCTTTTACGTTCCGTTCACGTTTTGAGCCCACTGTGACTTGGTTTCTGTCTCTATCACTCTTCGGATTTCTATCAAAGTCAGCAATGACTTTCTATTAGCTAAATTTAAAAGGCATTTTTCAATTATTTTTCTGCTATTTATCATGGCAGTGTCTAGAATATTTAAATTCATTCTTAAAACTCCCGCTCCCCTTGGCTTTCATGATTTCACCCTTCCTGGTCTTCTTGCTA